AGAAGACATATATTGAAATGAGCAACCATTAGACAATTCTGTTCTCAAATTTTATGTTGAGCATTGCCACTGCTGCTCATCCACTGTGGTATAACTGACTAAATTGTGCAAGTGAAAATAATTATAGTCTGTACCATAAAATCCAGGATTCATTTAAAAAATGTTCCTTTACTTCAATGAACAATTTTCTTATATTTGATGTAAATAATTTTTATTAACTATTTTTGGAACTCTGACTGACGATGATGATTTTTTGGAGCCACTATTTGCTTGTTTTGCACCCTCAAAATCTTTGAAAACTGCCCTTGTTGGCATTTGTTCCATTGAACCAGAATCCATTTTATATACTAAAACAAGTTTTAATTAAATTGCTTTAATTGAGAAAAAAATTACTTCAAATTCTCAACAATTATACAATATTTTCTCAATGCATTTACATCTTTACCATAATAAAATAAGATAAATCTAAAAATTTTCTTAAGCATATATATTTAAGAACAAAAAAAAATCAAAAAGCAAATTTTGTATGTTGACAAAATGTCAGGCTGTACTATCTAAGTGATTTTAAAAAATGTGTCATAAACAATGAAGGCAACATCACTGTCAACAAAAACCTATCAATGATAAATGAAAAACCACCTGATTCATTTGTTCTGAGGTTCTATTACATGCTCGAGTGAATATAAATAATACTAAGCTAATTTAGAAAAATGGAAATAATTCTTATTAAAAACAGTGTCCCGCTGTTGAGAGTGATCAGGGAGCTGCATTTTGCTTGGAGACTATACAATATAGATCTGAAGAACTGGTTGTTTAAGTTGGAATTTCCTACTCAACCATTCTTTTAAATATACCAATACCCATTAAATAATGAAACAAAAGTTTAAAGCTGAAAATTACAGCAGCAGTTGTTGCTTGATTGGCAGCAGACAGTTGAGTCTCAACTTCAAAACCTTTCAAGTATTTGATCATGTCATCTTTGATTGCAGGCCCTCCCTTGTTGGCAGGAAGAAGACTTTAATTGAAACCCTCAAGCAACTTCAACTACTACTTTAGTTTCTAACACATTGCATTGATCAGCTGGATTAAAAAAAAGTATATTTAAAAAAATCAATAATCTTCTGCCATTATCAGTTTTATTTATACAAGCAAACAAATTCACCCCTTTTGTTATTTGTCTGATTATTTCAATTTCTGTGAATCATCATAATATTTATAATCTCATGATGGATGGTATCCGCTAATGGAATTCCTCTGTCTGTAATTACTGTAGAAGACAATGATCCCAGTGGATTATTTCTTCATATATTTTTTATGTCACCATGATCTCAGCTCCAGTAAAGATTCAATAAAAAATCTAATGCCTAAAGATTTAGTCATCACACGTGTGAATTGTATTTAGCTCATTAAAAACTTGATGAGAAAACAGTCCAGTATTTTGTTGAATATTAAAAGATTTAATGGAAGATTCAATGATGATACAATTTCCCACAGTCCACTGCGTTTGCTTCTACTTTGGGAAAGCACTCAGAGCTATGTATCATTGCTTAGCTTTAAGTTATGAGTGACCTAACAGGAAGCATCATCATTTCAATACATCGAATTCGGAGTGAAATTAAAACCACAATTTTGATAGTTCTACTTCTTGACAGACCTATTTATTAAATTTTTAGTAATACTGCTGCTGAAAAAGATTTAACAAAAATAACGTCAGATATATCAAAGTGGATAATCTTTGATGTTTGACTGTCATCAGCTCGTGGTATCTAATTATATCACTGTCATCAGTCGGTGGTCTCTGAATGTATCACTGTTGTCAGTGGCTGGTCTCTATCAATGTAATCAGTGGGCTGTCTCAGATGTATGCCTATCCTCTATCGGTGATCCAAATGAAAAAATGACAGACGTTGGAGAAAAACATTGATTAAATTAACATAATATTAAAAAATGTGGTTTACATTTTTGCCTTTAAAAAAAATAATTTTTAATGATGTTGTGACATCATCTCCTGTCAGCCATTAGTTACCTAGCAACCATAAAACGTCAAACTGGCATTGTGGGAAGTAAAAAAAAATGACTGGAAAGTATTTTAAAATGCAGCCATGAATTAGTACAAGGCTGTTGGATTAACTCATCTTCTCTGACAGGGCCTGGCCACTGTTCCAGTAAAACAACTAAGAGCTGTCCTGGTCGAACAGTTTGAAAGACTCATGTGGGCAGCCACTGGTCTGGCAAGAGAAGCTAGGGTGTCAGCCATAAGGGATGAGAGGATCAAGAGGCTGGCCGCTGTGCTTAAGGTGAACATAGACATAAAGTGATATGTCTACAACTCGCACCACAAAGTAGGGTTACACATATCACACCATATAACTGGGGTACATAACTGACACCAAATAGCAGGGGTTCACATAACACACCATGTAGCAGGGTTACACATATCACACCATATAACTGGGGTACATATATCACACCATAATAGCAGGGCTACACATATCACACCATATAACTTGGATACACATATCACACCATATAACTGGGGTACATATATCACACCATATAGCAGGGCTACACATATCACACCATATAACTGGGATACACATCACACAATATAGCAGGGTTACACATCACACCATCTATTATAACTGAGAAACACACATCACACCATATAGCAGGGCTTATTTAATTCAAACACAATAATGCCACTGACAATTATCACATTCACATTACTAATCAAATAAAACCCACTTAAAAATATTTTAATGAATTTTATTTAAACCCATCTTTATTTGTGTGTGTGGTCTGATAACGCATAGAGCCAATATCACTCTCTCACTGTTGGTCTGATAACACATTGAGCCAATATCACTCTCTCACTGTTGGTCTGATAACACATTGAGCCAATATCACTCTCACACTGTTAGCTGATTTTTCTTCTGGCTTTAGTTGTTACATAGCAATCAAGGATTACTTACTGTCTGAGAATGGCATACTCATGTTGTTAATCAACTCAGTCTCATATATTGTTTTTCAAGTACTGACAGCATTAAATAATATTTCAGATATTGAAATAAAACTGCTCACTTGTTTCTGTCCACCTATTTTGCAGCGTGTTTACAGGTCAGAGGTCACAGTAGCGACCCACCTCCTCACCAAGAATCACACCCCATTACGCCTTGAGGAGCTTTGGTCAAGCTCTGTCATGTTTCCACCCTGCATGCGAAGACTGACCAACATCTTGAGGAGGCATCACAGGTTGAAGCACCATGACAGGGTGAGTCACTTGGAAGCAATTTTCTGTGATACCAGTTGTTACTGAACTTTCAAGATCTCCCAGACAAGTTTGTCGAAACTGTTTGCAACAAAGGCAGACGAGGGTGGGTCAAAATATCTGGCAGGTTTTATTTGCACAAATTTTTTTTCAAGGAGCGTTTTGCTGGAGCTTACCTGAGAAGTCATCTTTTTGTACAATTTAAAAGGATAGATGATTTGATTTCTAAGAAATGGTATTGATGTTTATCCTCCTCCAGAGACCAAGGAATCCATTACGAATGCTTAAAATAAACACTAAGGCATTTGTTCAGTTACTAGCTGTAGCCCACCAAACACCATGTAAACATACCATCTAATAAATTTACTGGATAAAACATGCATTCCAGTAACCCACTTTATAAGATGCCCAATAGATACATAGAAGTAAAGCTAACTTTATAAATAGCATTTATTTATCTCATACACTTTTAAGTGCATTTTGCAGTAAAAGATTTATTTTGAAACAGGTATTTCTAAGTAAATCTTTCATTTTTCTCCATCTCTGCTCCCCAAAAATAATTTAAGTGAAGAAATTTTGTATGGGCATCTCTCACTTGTCCAATTATCCAATTTTCACACTTGCTGGAATTGTTGGAAATGCAAAAACAACTTTTAATGGGATGACATTGAGCAAGGGGAGATAACTGTTGTTTTATGCCATTCTTCATTAGCGTCATCTCATTAGTCTTGTCACAATCTTGGAGTGTGGCAACAGTCCCTCAATTTTATCGTGTCATACAGAGAATCGACTTGATTAGGAAGAAGAAAAAACCAAATGATACCGGTATCATACAAAATTGGAAAAATGAGATGAAAGTTTTCCTTTTTCTTTTTTTTTTATTTCTAAAAAAATCATAGTTTCAAGAAATGATTGTGTGCATTTTTTTTTAAAATTCAGAATTAAATTGCCTGAATAAATATTCAAAAAGTCAAAGAAGTTAAAGCATACAATATTTTAGTGAGGTTCATTTATATTGTATGTACCTTTTTTGGGAATAAGCCATATGAAAGCAAAACATTTTAAAGCAGTTGATAAACTTTTTTTTTTTTGTTCTACCTTACTGAATATGAAAGGTTGGGTTGGGGGGGGGGGTGGTTATGTTTGTATTATGAGAGTAGGGGTATCTACCTTACTTCATACTGTCTTCATTTCTGTAAACGATCTCATTCAAATTTTGCTCATGGAATCATACAAGACTTGTTCGCATACCATATCAAAATATTAGGAAGGTGGTTTTGCATAGCAAACATATCTATATGATATATTGATAATTTAAAGAGCTTTCCAATTTGGAATGAAGTAATTAAATACTCTATAAAAGGGAGTGTCTCAGATCCTCAGGTATTTGCTGCAAACTTAAATAATGGTCAGTAGGTTGGTCAGGGCAACTGACTTTTAACAGCTTTAATTCCATGCTAATTTGGTTGCTGTCTTTCTAGTTTGTAAGTTGAGGTTTTTACTTACTTAGGGTTTCTTTGCTCCTTCCAAGAACAGCTGCCTTGCTTTGTCAAATTTTGTTGACGATAATTCCCCTCCACCTCACTGTTTGCCCATAGCTTGGGATGACCCTGGATGATTATGAACCCACTGTATCTTTGATTGCGAGGAAGGTGTTGGTACAATTGTGGCGTATGGTTTGCTCAGATCACAATTCTTGGACTAAAAAACTATGCCTGTACTCTGCACCACAGATTCAGCTGACTCTGTTCCTCAAGGAGCTTGGCCTGCCAGTTCACGATGCTTTGCTGCTATGGAAACACCAATACTCAGAGCCGGTGGCATCGAACTTATCTGAGGCTTGTGGTCGTTGGCAGGGCAACGAAAGACGTTACATCTACAATATCCGTCATCTGTATGGCTTTGAGGGAGCTCGGGTGAACTACAAGGCACACAGCTGTGCATTTCTGCAGGTCAGTTTCTTAGGGAAATGTTAAGTTTATTTGGTTTTGAAAAAAAGATAAAGACTTGAAAAAAATATAATTTTAAAATTTGTCAAAGAATGAAAAATCTGATACTAAAAGTAACATAGCTTCTGTAGCATGCAAGACTCTTAAGCAGGAATACTTTACCCTTTCAAAGCCCTCAAATGAATCAGAACGCAGTTATTTTACAATGTTAATTTATTTATATGCATAAATTTAATTTCATATCAACCTTTCTGTTAGGTTTTACCATTGAGGAACCTTGCATAAGGTTTCTCTGCTTGTGTATATGGAAATTTGGCGGCATTCAATGTTCATTATCATCAATTAAATTTGGATACAGATAAAAAAAATAGTCATTCATGCGATGATAGTCTACACTTTGTAGATGCATTGGGATTTCTGTATATTGTCCTATCAGAAGTTAACAATTAAAAAAAACAATTAATTCAGAACCATGAAGTAAAATAAAATTAGTTTTTAAAATGTTTAGAATGATCTTAATTATAGAGCACTCATGTATTTCTTGCTTTTTGTTAAGGAAAAGTCAATCTCAAGTCATGGTGCCGGTGGTTGCCCCTTTGTGCTCTCAGATGAAACAGCTCTCAGTTCACTGCTCACAGATCTGGGAGTCAGTTCAGGGGATGTCCCAGAGTTACCAGGGTTTATTGAAGGCAAAGAATACAGCAGGGCCTGTCACAGCTTTATGTGCTGTCAGTTGAAGAGAACCAAAGACAGATTTAATTCATCATGCCATGCAGATGAGGCTCAACACTTGAATCAACAGATCTCGGCTAAGAAATGCTTGGAACAAAGCTCATCTGGTCAACATTTGTCTGACCAATGCTCATCTGATAAACATTTGTCTGACCAATGGTCATCTGATCAATTCCCATCAAGTGATCCTGGTTATGGAGACACCTCGAAATGGCAGGTTTACTCCCGCACAGAAAGTAATGCAATGTGTCAAATTGAGAACCACGGTGTGACTAATAATAATAGACATTTAGTGAATTCAAAATCTCTGCCTGACCACCAGAATGGTTTAAAAGTTGACAACGCCCTCACTCAGTTCACACCCAGTGTGCCAGCTGGATTAACAAAACCTCAATTCAACTTCAGTCATGAGATGGAATGTTCTATCACCCATCTGACAGCGTGTCCTGTCAGTCATGCGACAGAATGCACTATCAGGCCGACTGGTCAGCATCGAAGTGTTGCAAAGAAACTCCACATCAAGAATAATTCAGTAGAGTGTCAAAAATATGGTGATAGTTCCAATCATTATTGTCAAGCGGGGAAGCCTGATGGTGCCTCCCTTGGTTCTGTTGATGTTTCAGCTGTCTTACTGGACAACTCTTGTGTAGAGGACACTCCCCCCTGCAAGATCTCCAGAAATACTGGGTTGTTGTCCTGTGATGATCCTGTGAAGATAAAAAGTCATTCTCCTGGTACACATGAAGACACTTTGACAGAATCAAATCAGAGGTGTACACAAAGGGTGGCATCAAGAAAATACCTTGACCTTGGTCTTATTCACGACACTTCACCCAGCATTGGTGATGCTGTTGTCTTGGAAAGTGAAGTCTCGCAGCCAGGGATAGCTGAGAAGTTTCACAAGTTCAGACATAAAAAGCCCAGTGAATATTTCTGGCATTGTAAGAGTTTTCTGTGAAAATATTTATGCAAGAGTTTTTTTAGTGTGGACAACTTACAATTCTATTTCTATAGTTAGGATTTACTTTATTTAGTTATTTTTACTCTAAGTGGATTGTTTAAAAGGAATATACTTTATACATAATAATGACTCAGAGAAACAGATTTACAAGATATTTACATTACTTTTTTTAAAACACTGTTTATTTTAAAATATATATTATATTATATATAGAATGTATAGATATAAAATGAACTTAATGAAATTTAAAATAGTAAATAGAAAAACATATTTTTGTATATTATTGAAATTCTGCAGTTACATTTTAATAAATTTTATTTTTACGATTAATATCTCAAGTATAAAAAAATGTCTGCATTTTCTTAATGTAAATAGTGGTTAAAATACTAAAAACTTAACATAAACTGCAATTGATACAAGCCTATTGTAAATACATCATAACCATTTGTGTTCACATTCCCATGGCTTTTTGTGGAGATGTTTTTATATGTCAACAATATGAATTTGTTACTTGTATGTTTTATTTCCTTCGGTTACATTCAAATAGCAACAAAAACAATGTCAGTTACTTTACCTTTTGTCACAGTAAATAGTAATAACATTAAAAGTTACATTCTCATTTGGCCATGTTAAATTGAATTTTTTTTTTTTTTATTTATTTTATTATTTCACCTTTTTTTTTGCCATTTTAATTAAAAGAGATAAACTATTTTAAAAAGTTGTCCTATTCTGCAAAAGGAATGTTGGCATGGCAGCAGAGACCTTGTGGTAATAAAATGTTAAAGTTCAAAGACTTTTTTTTTTATTTGAAATTTTATTTTAGAAATCATTTTTTAAAAATTAAATGCAAACATGTGTTTAGAGTAGAGGACACCTTGATGTGTAATCTGTATTACGTTTGTTGAGTCAGATGTCAGTTTTGTGACATTCCCTGGTTTACATAATTTTCTGTTATTTGCTAGATCACAATCGTGACATCAATTTCATTGGAAACCACATTATTTAACTCACCAATCTATCTGCTGGGGTGAGACCTTCACTCAGTGAATCAAGGGGGGGGGGGGGGGGGGGGGGGGGGGAGGCATCCTTGTCTTTCTCTTAATAAACATTTAATACAAATGTTTAATAAATTATTAATTTTATCTTTAATTGAATAAAATTAGTAAAGGTTTGTCCAGATTAAATGTTTTTGCCTTGACATAACACAGACATTATACAGATATAACACAGACATTGCACAGATGTAACAGACATTATACAGACATTGCACAGACATAACACAAACATTACACAGACATTACACAGACATAACACAGACATAACACAGAAATTACACAGACATTACACAGACATTAAATTCTTTTAAATTCTGGGGGTGATTAATCAGTATCCTGATAATATTATTTTTGGAACCCTCAAGGAAGAAACAAAAACACCTGGCAAAGAGATCTCGACAAAGATGTAATAAAGATTGGATAGAGTTGGAAAGAGCAAGAGAAGACAACAAGAGACGGGAAGGCTTGGAGAGAAGTTGTTAATGGACCCTGGGAGGTTAAAAGAATATGAAGAAAAATTTTATTTTATTTTTTATTATAAAGCCCTCTCCACTTATCCCCTAATCTCACACCTCAGCTTTTACATGTGTTCTCTCCCCTGCCTATAGTAGTTATCCTCCTTGCATTCTTCTTCATTCACTTATTCCCAATAAAAAATACTTCCATGACTCTGCAAATATATTTGTTCAAATATCCTTATTAAGTGTGAAAGTGCCTTGAATGAGGACATGTTTCACAAATATGGAGATTAAAATAAGGGTGTCACAACGCTACCTCATGAACAAAGTTTAGAATGCCAAATTCTTTCTGATCTTTTTGAAACATTTTGGGAAAAGAACTTGCATGCAATGTTCTAATTCATGAGTTTTAGGGCATTTCAGATATTTGATGTTAAAAAGAAGATGGAGGAAATAGATTTAATTATATTTGATTTTCTTTTGTGTGGGATGGACGAGGGCTGGCACTGGTTGACACTACTGATAGATGAGGGCTGGCACTGGTTGACACTACTGATAGACGAGGGCTGGCACTGGTTGACACTACTGATAGACGAGGGCTGGCACCGGTTGACACTACTGATAGACGAGGGCTGGCACTGGTTGACACTACTGATAGACGAGGGCTGGCACCGGCTGACACTACTGATAGATGAGGGCTGGCTTAGACGAGGGCTGGCACTGGTTGACACTCCTGATAGACGAGAGCTGGCACTGGTTGACACTCATGGTATAGACGAGGGCTGGCACTGGTTGACACTGCTGATATAGACGAGGGCTGCCACTGGTGGACACTAATGGTATAGACGAGGGCTGGCACTGGTTGACAATGCTGATAGGGACACTTCTGAAACATTTTTTTTAATAAAGCAGAAAAGCTTTAAGAACTATTTTATTTTTAATCTTTTCCCCTTAAAAAAACAATTAAAAAGTCAGCCTTTCTCCAAACACGTTGGTGTTCAGATTTCTAATGAGAAACATTTGTCCTTCAATCGTACAATAAAATTATACGAATAAACTATATGGCCTGCTAAATATTATGAGTGCGTTAAACAATAATGTAAAGAGTTTTAATGGTAAAATGTTTTGTTTTTTTTTTAATGAAAGCTAGTTAAATAAATTTCATGGGGCTTCAAAGAAGTCATTACGGTGAAATTTCATTTTGCTTGAAATCATTCAGGAAATGTGAAATAATATTTTTACCTCCCCTTACGTGAAGGATTATTTTGGTAGCTTAGTTGAGATACTTAGGGTTGGTGGTGGGGGGTAGTTTCTTATACTGAAAAATATAAGATATTTTAAAAAATCAAATTTACATTTAAAGATCGAATTTAGCATGGAGACAAACCGAAATTTATTCCGTAATCGATTTCTTTCTTTTTTTCTTTCTTTTTTTTTATTTTGGTTACCTCCCTTGAATAATAAAATTCCATCGGTCAGGCCTTTGATTAGAACAATTAGAATTAGATATAAGGCGCCTGTAAGGCTGGTTGTTCTAGTAGTTCTAGCTGTTTTGTTGTGATATATTTATTTCTGAAAAGAAATTGTTCTAATTTGCGTTTTAAAACATTTGAAGGAATAATACTGAAAATAATTGTATTACTATTATTTTTTTTTAATAATAAAATAAATATGATGAATGCAGAATTGTATCTATTTATTTGTTATGCATTATGATGGCTTGGTTACCCGGAAATAAATTAAATCCCCTTTGTTGACAACGAGCAACGCTAATTCCGGAGCGGAAAGTTTCCCCAAAAAGTTTCAAACTAATGGAACGGAACCCTCGTCAAGTGGCTCGACGTAGATGACTGTGGAAAAAAAATAATAATGTCTGTCTTGTTTCATTTCACTGTATCTGTTTTATGGATTACAGCCCATGGTAAGTTAACAAGCTGATCGAGTTCTTTGCGACCAATTAAATTACTATTACTATTATTACTTTCCTAACTTTTCTTCGAGGACTACTCGCCACGGATAAATAAATGTTCAAGTTCAAGTTGATTGAGTCGGAGATTGATCATTGAATCATTTTCAATTTCATCTTCTTTGAATATTAATCAAATTCTAGGAATTAAAAGTTTCTTACATAGCGTAGCCTATATCAAAATTATTGGTTATTTAATTAAAACTAATAAATAGTTAACCCTTTTGACCTGAGTTTCTGACCTCAGGGCTCAACTTAATAAAACTAAGCAGTTATGGATCGGATGTGAACTCAATGATTATGATTAGATTTAGATCTAATCAAATAAACTTTACTGACAAATAATTAAATTTTAAATCTACCCAATTTTTTCAAAAACTTGTTCATATTAATATATATATAGGCTATATATTTTTTTTTTATTCTTGGGGAGGTGGTAAACCTTTTCTTATTTTATGTTTAACTGCAACCACCAAAGTTGGAACACAGTCACTTACATTTACACAGCAGGCAGCTTTGTGTGTGATTAAAAAAATTGTCACTCAACACAAAATTGCTGTAGTCTGTAGTAGTAGCCTCGTTTTATTAGTTGCAAGCGCCAAATTAATCCTTGAACAGGGACAAGTAAATATTATAACATAATGGGATTGTTGCTATGCTATAACTTTCTAAATTCTAAATGTGCAAATCTGGTTTTCATATGTTACGCGAGTCACTGAAAACCACATAACTTTTGAAATAAACTTATATTTGAAAATTAGATTATGTGATGGTAAACATACTTTTCTCACTAAAGCGATTTTTGAGATATTTCTACAGGTATTTTATGTCACATGAGAAAGCCCTAGGGCTATGTTAAATACCTGTACAAAAAATATATTATAAATGCATTTTTTTAAAGAATTAGACGTCTCAGACTTGGGTGTTTAGATCATTACCGCAACAATATACCAGATTTAAATAGATATTTTTTTTACCGATAAAACTTATGGAGCCAGAATGATCAATTGATTGATTGATTGATTGATTGATTGATTGATTGTGGGCCCTCAAAAAATAAGAGAAGGAGACTTTTCAATACAATCTATTTTTAGCTGCTATCCATGAAAAAGTGAAGTACCACGAACTGATCGGGGTCCACCAGTCTCACGTGAGGAACAGGCGGAGCGCTGACCAAGACTTTGGGGAGCTGGTTAAGGAGTTCAACTTCCAGGCTTTCAATAGGTCAAACTTATATAAAGATATAACTTTTGAAGTCAAATTATGTGTGCATCTATCCTCCCCTAATTATTTTATCTCATATTTTTTAAGAGTTCTTGGCCATTTGCTTAATCAGGCCATATGATTATTACGGAATTTTAAACTATTTGACATAAAAATAAAGATATGTAACAGTACATAGTTAATTTGATACATGGACTTACAATTAATTGATTTTTAATTTTTTTTTTAAAGCGAGAAAGCATAAGTAAGATAATAAATTTAAAAGCAGTCTCCCCTCTAAATGAGACAACCATTGTTGTAGATTTAAGACATTTAGTTATCTATCATGATAATATCACTTTTAAAAAAATGCATCATTGGATAACATCGATTTATAAGTCTTAATACAGATATTAGTAATTAGCATGTTTTAAAAGTAAGTTAATTGAAATTTGCTGTAAACGTGTATTAGTATTAGGTCATGTGGAATTAAGTTGGTTGGACAGTGGTCAAGTTTATTTATAATCAAATTGGTGGGACAGTGGTCAAATTTATTTAGAATGAATTGGGTAAAACCAGCTAATGATTATGTTCATAATATATTTTATAAAAAGTAGTGTACCGGGCACCGGCAATGTTTCTCTATTAACATGACAAAGCAAAGAAAGTTTATTAATATCAGGAGCTACAAGAAACCCTTGAAAAATTATGCATTTGCTAATCATCTTAAACATCTAAGGTAGAAAAATTAGTCCGATAACCAATAAGCTTAATAAATTGTACCACATAAATGTATCTTTTCAAAAATATACTGGTAGCACACTGGCAGAGAATCTTATTTACATTTAAAAACATTCAAAATATTTACCTCAGTGTATAAACATTTAACTCACTCATCAGTTTGCTCTTAACTTAAGAAGTTTAAATTGAAGATTCCCCCCCCCCTCCCCCTCCCTGCCCCAACTTGTTTTGGATTTCAGGTCATTCAACTGCAGCCTCACCCCTCGACTGAATTTTTTCTCCGCAAACTTCACCCTGACGGTGTATGGAGCAGACGGGGTTCCTAGGGAGCAAACCTTTAGAAGAGATCACATTTATGTGGGGACGTGCAATGGTAAGTGATGAAGAGATTCATACGTTTTATTTGCTTCTACTTGTAGTCCAGAAGTGTGTACGTTTTCTAGAATTGTCTTCTTGTGCCTTTCTACCCCGTCTGGGGCATAGGCCGTCTACAAGAACTTTCCACTCATCACGGTCCTTTGCTTTCCTTTCCAATTGCTTCCAGGTGTATCCCATATTTTCCGTGTCAGCCTCTAGCTCTCGTCTCCATGTATTCTTAGGCCTTCCTCTCTTTCTTTTTCCCTGTTGGTTCCATGTTAGGCGTTGTCTGGTGGTGCTATCTGGGGGTTTTCGGAGCGTATTCAAGAATTGTAGATGGGAAATATTTTTTAATATAAATATAAACATCGAGTTTATTTAAAAATTTTTGTTTGTTTTTATTTTTGTATTGCCTTAGGTGACACTGATTCAGAAATTCGAGGCACCTTTAAAGAGGGAATTTTTTCAGGTTCCTTAAGTTACCAGGGCCAGGTGTATGGCATTGAGGTGAGAGGAAAATTATTTAAATTATATGGAACGTTGATGTTGTCTAATAATTGATACAAATTTCCAAACACTATTTTAGTTTCTATTTAATATCTTGTAAAGTATGGGGGCCATACTGTTGAATGATAAAATAAACTGGTGAAAAATTACTATAATGGACTTCATTTCTATTTTTGACATTGACGGTAGTGTAACTTTCTAGGTCCTATGTTGTTTCATTCTTATTATTTTTATATTAACTTTTACTTAATGTTCATCCCTTCAAAAAGTAAAAAAAACTGCCTATATCAGTCCATATCTGATGCACAATGTTTAACATCTGTCCATATTTGACTTATTATTGTCTATTTCTGTAATTTTTTTACTTAGCCCATTGTCAACATCTGTCCATTTCTAACAAACAATTGCCTATATGTACCCAGTCTGTATTTATTTTTTTATATTTCTCCCAGAATGCCAAGTTCCATATTCCAACAAATTTAGAAGACAAAGAACAGATGATTGTTTACCGTGCTTCCGATGTCATCTGGCCAGAGGGGCAACAGAAAAATGGAAATGGGTAAATGTCGTGTAAATGTCATGTTTTGTGAATAATAGGTTATTTTAATCAAATAGCATTTGATCCAGCTCCCTTCACTGGGTGCCTCGCCAGGAGAGAATGTTCCAGGTATTTTCCTGCGTGTGTGATGTTAAGTGGCTTATATCTTACTGTGGGACCAGGTCATTCCTACCACAGAAGAGCCGGTAACGTGAGGCAGTTAGTCAACTCCTCATTACTTCTGCTTTCTTTACGTACCAAGTACAATGCTGTAGTTGAATTCCATTTGTCATGAAAATCTCATTAATTCCTCTTGTTTTTTCAGTCCCAGCTTTTGTGGTAACATCCATACCAAACTAAACATATCAATGAGTGGAGATGGGGACATTGTTGTGGATGAAATTGTTAAAGGTAAATAATGGAAAATAATCTTTATTATTATTTTTTCTTCAAAACTTTTAGACAAAATTCTGTAAATTATTTCTTGGTTTTAGTTTTAATTTTGAGTTTTTTTATTATCTTTTTAACGACATTGATATAAATTTCATTCTATAATTTGTTGATCTTTATCTTGACAGACAGAGCGGCACGGTACAGGAGGGAGGCCACGCCGTCTTGGAACACTTGTAAGATCATCACTGTAGCTGATTACAAATTTTTCAAAGGAATGGGTCGTAGCGACATTTATGACACAGCACTCTATATGGTAGGAGCTCAATTCTTTTTATCGGTTTTGACCTTGCTTACTCATGTCACATTAATGTGCCTTACACAAATGTAACTAACCATGTGTTGATTAGTTGTGATGCTTTTAGTACTGATGTCAAAAGTCGACCTACTTGAAACTTGATGTTCATCATTACTTGATAGCAATACTACTTGCTACTAAGCAGCAAACCACCAGCTAATGAATTACTTGAAAATATAGCATACTAACTTTTAGCCATTTTGATTGTCATTATTCAAGCTGTCACATTCCTTGTTCTTTCTAATTTATTAGTTATATTGAACAGGTGCTGGTGGGGAAAAAAAATCTCTATTTATTACTTAAAAATGATAACAGGAAATAAATTTGATTCATAAATACCGGTAACATAACATAGCAGCAAAAACTAAATTGATAAAAAGAATAAGCTTGAAATATAAAAACACTGACACTTTTGGAACCGATCAGGGAATATTGTACCTCAATGGCTTATAAATAGTTTATCATTTTAAGTAATTATTTAGCGTGTTTCGTCAAATATCCCATTAGGATATCTTGTCGGGCTGTAGATACAGAAGACAGCTTCCCTCATGAAGTTCTAATTCAACAATGAGTTTCCTGGCAGTCACTCAACCTCAAGGTGTGGCCCCATTTTCACTATTTTCAGTTGTCCCGATTAATCAGAATTTTGAATTTTTTGGGGATTAAAAAATATTCATTGATTGACCTCAATTTATCAACAGGCTGGAGTGATGGATAGAGTGGATGCCATTTACAGGAAGACCTCATTTAACCTGGATTCATCAGTTTCTGGATTTGGTTTGGAAATTGCCAAAGTAGGTCAACAACTTTATCCATTTTTTTTCTATTGCAAGAAGATTAAAACAGAAACTTTTTTTATACCGGTATACAAAATACTTATCATCTATTCCTCATTGCCACATCACCACGCTCTGTTTGGTTTACTGTCTGACAATAGAAGGCTTTGAGTAAAAAAATTCATGTTCACAAACACTTAACTGAATAAATCAAGAACTGACCTCTAATTATGCAGAGTACCTGTTTCAAATCTTATGTTGACTGTTAAGTTAAAGTCACTGGTAAATATTTTAATTTTTATCTTTTTTTTTCTAAACTAGTGGTAAGAGGACAGAGTTTAAAACATGCCTATCTTTACATGTGTTACATGCTTTATATTTATATGACATATAAAGTTACGTTTCTATTTAATACATGTAGTTTTTTTAAATAGTTTTTTTTTAATTATTACATTATTAAATAATTGATCATCACTTCTATAAGCAAGCCTCATTTTTTTAAACAGGTTTGCAGTTTAGGGACCAGCATTGTGATAAATGTTAAAATGTAAAAACGAAATTAAAACATAGCCCTTTTATATTGCTTTAAATATATTAGGCAGTCTTAGGTGCATACAAAACTTTCATGTTACAGTTAGTTTGTATGTATGGTATGCAGAGACAATTAAACATTATAACCAACTCAGCTCATTGGTAGCCTTCTTTTTCCCCTGCACTTAATTTTTGTGTTTGTTCCAGTGAAAGAAAATATTTTCTTGCATATTTCCAACAGATGGTGATATATGAAGCGGCCACATCTGGGTTTAATCAGGCTAAGACAGACTGGGAACCACTGACATTGTTACAGGTAAGACAGAAAAGTCCAGTTATCATCTTGAAAGTGTATACTGTATATGATACAGTTATTTTATTTACATTTTAAAGCATTAAAAAAATGTTTGAGAACATAATTTGAAATGCTGCAGTCAGCGCTCAACTAAATAAATTATTTATCGTCCTGTGTTTTATTTCAAGTATTTCAGCAGAAACCTTGAATACAAAACCTACTGCGCTGCACATCTGTTCACACACCAGGCATTTTCAGGGAATATTCTGGGTCTTGCTTACATAGCACCATCACGAGAGGGCGCTGTTGGAGGGATATGCTCCCCAGGTAGGAGCTGCTTGTATAAACAGAAAGGCGATTAAGGTGCCATCTGGCCGCATGGATTTCATTCTGTAGTATTTCTGTCTGTGGTAGTTGATGTACAGTTCTTTTTAAAAGCAATAGAGGTCTGGTCTTAAAGGGAAATAACTCCCACCCCACACACACGCACACCCCACAAAATCATAACATTTTTGTTTAAAGAGTTTAAACATTGTTTTTAAAGTTTAACAATATTAATTTTCTGATAACTTCCAAATCACGGCAACAATTATTTTTTTTAAATTTACTAATAAATATAATCTGACCTTAAATTTTTTAAATACCGGTAATAAAATACTATAAAAAAAAACTTTTTGTGGAGTAAGAAAGTATTTTTCAACTCCACCTCTACGGTTTCAACTGGTTCATTTCTGGCCAAAGTCAGACTCTGTAACCACTGATTGCAGACAGGAAATTGCAGGCCGACAGAATTCTCCAACTCTGCTTTCCTAATGCAGATAAAGAAATCAAAATCTTGCAAATAATTTCATCACATTTGGTACAGACCAGGAAAAAAATTTTTTTACTATGGAAATCGATTTCAGCTTTGTTGACATAACTGTGCCATCTGAGTCGGTCAGTTATGACTTAAGAATTTAATGATTATTTACAGGGATGAAAACTTATGACTGTTTACAAATGTTCTAATACGTTTCTTCACATTTTTCAGTTGTGCGAATGGATAACGTTATGTCAAGTCTGAATACTGCCTGGAGTTCAACCAAGAACCAAAATGGCGACACAGTTTTGTTGAAGCAAGCTGACCTAGTCACAGCTCATGGTACAGAAAAATGTTTCATTGATTTACAAATATTTAAAATATTTATTACCTACATTATAAGCATCACAAAGAATTGATCTTCTTATTTGTTGTTCGTCTGTTAAAATCAACAAGGACTATCTAGTCATCTATTAAGGGTTGGTGGGGGGTGTGTTGGAATAGTCTCTGACACTGCTGGCAAGGGATAGACCACCAATCTTCTTATTACTTGACCCCAGCACATTATTTTCATCCATTTTTTATTATTCTTTCCCCATGTTTACTTTCTGTGGCTGGTGTATGTCCTTGATTCTGAATAGAATTTGGTAAGTTGTTTATTTTCACAAATCTTTTTCTGTGACTTCTGAAATAGAAATGATATTTATAAATGTGGCAAACTCTTATTGTCCATCACAGAAATACAACATATACCTTGCTGTAATGGAGAAAAGATTAAATTCTGTTCTTTTGTGTACCGGTATAGATGTTATGTAAAACTCTGATCTTTCCGGATTAATCTGTGTACAATTCCTGCTGTAAGTAACAGATGAAATTATTGATTTGTGTATACTGGTACCTTTTTATGTGAACTAAAAAAGTCTTTCCAGTTCCAGTTGTTTTTTTGTTTTTTTTTGTATGCCTTGTCTTGTTTTATATTCCATTCATTTATTTCTCAGGACACAACTGGGGAGCAGAGCATGACCCAGAGTCAGGGGACTGCTCACCTTCTACTGTGTACAGTAAAGGGAAGTACCTGATGTACCCATATTCTGTCAGTGGCTATGACCCCAACAATTATGTAAGTCACAGTTTAGACTGCACCCAAGTTTTCAAAACTGCACAACACTTTAAGAGACCTAATATTACTAATATAGAATATTAATATGTTAATAAATCATTTTTTCCAACATGTGAAACAAGACTGTTTCTTTTTATCTGTCTGCAGGATCATGTTTCTAATCCAGTTTTTTTTCACTACTGTGTAAAAAAATTATGTTATTATACATGCGTAAGAGGAAGCATGTCTACCTTTTACATTTTAAACCTTTAAAAATAAACATCCTCTTTTAGACATTTACATAAAAACTTGTTATATACCTGTAATATAAATATTATTGCATTTTTTAAAACTAAACAAATACATTTTTTTAATGACCATTTTTGAGTCAACTGACAAGGAAAGTATAATTTCTCTGCCTCTGTATCTCTTTTAAGTGTTTTAAGAATAAATATCAATTTCAAAAATAAAATCTAATATTCACGTCAAATATTTGGGGGAAATCACTCAAGGTAAGGTAAAAAATAGACATCTAGGTCTAATTTCTTCATACCGGTACACATATTTTTAATGTAGGAATTAAAAACTCATGAAATAAAATTTAAGAGAAATACAAAAATTAATTTTAAAAAATTGAAATTGAGCTTCTTGTAACTATAAGGTATTGATACCGGTATCAAAAAAATTAAATTAATTCTAGTATCTTTTTTTTTCTGTTTTCTCTCAGCTGTTTTCACCTTGCAGTAGAGATTTTATAAGCCGCGTACTGAAGATTAAAGGCAGTACCTGCTTCACAGGTGAGTTGTACACTCTTTATAAAACCCTTCTCAGATGTTGCAGTTTGTACTGAAAAAGGAATGAAAGGAATGGAGGTTTGAATGGGCTCTTCTCTGTTTATAATTTGGTGTCAATTAATTCAAAATTCAATATTTGATCTATCGTGAAAAGAATAGATAATGCCATCTAAAAAAAAAGGAAGTAAATGGATTTTTTGTATTTTTTTGTCTACAGCAAAAAGCTACGATGAAAACCAGGTGTGTGGTAATGGGCGCATTGACACTGGTGAAGAATGCGATGCTGGTTTCATCGGGCGCTTCAACTTAGACAAGTGCTGTGACAGTAACTGCCGACTTATAAACTCTGCAACATGCAGGTGGGTTCCATTTCCATTGTCTAATCTGCTCAGCAGGATGTAACCTGGATGTACCATTCTCATAGTTTGATATGAGCTGGTGGGCACAGTCTTTATGTTGTATATCATGGATATAACAAATTAGACACCATTTGAACACCATATGTTCCACTCTTATTTAAAAACCTTATGTGACTACCTATTGCACACTGTATTTATAATGTAACTGCAATCATTGATGATACTCCAATAGCATTAATATACTGCTCCTTTACCTAAATGGATTGAATATTTCTAATATTTTCCAGTCCACTCAATCACGAATGTTGCTCCAACTGTTCAATGTCACCAGCGGGTACAACATGCAGGTCATACACTGGCATCAACTGCCTTGAATCAGCTGTTTGCAAATATCCTTTTTTTTTTAAATGGTTATCTTTTATTATATTGCTTTTATTTCAAACTGAATTTAATTTTGTTTCAAAATAAATATAATTTAATGCAAACCCTCCCCCAATCTAGATTTGCAGCTGTTTATATATTAACTAAAAAGTACTGGTACTTATTGTCTTTGACCTTACTTCAGTGGCTATACTTTGGAGTGTCCAGCACCAAATTACAGAGCAGAAAACTCGCCTTGTTTAGACAAGTAAGCAATTCAAAATACCGGTATTTAAAAATATTTTATACCAATCAAATAGTTAATCAACACAAGCATTCATTGTTTTATATGTAATTTGTAATTTGTAAATGATTAATTACGTGTTTGGGGTAAATCAATTATCTGTATATAGAAGTTTATTTTTATAAAATAGAAATAGTCAAAGATGCTCTCAGTACATTGTTAATTTATGAGATTTAATTTTCTAACCCCTCAGAGGGCTGTGTAGATCAGGGGTGTGTGTTCCCTTTTGTGAATCCAGGAACTTGACGGCCTGTGCTTGTGAAAATCGTAAGTCATTGTGTTAGGTCCAAGTTATGGCTTGTTTTATTATACTCATTCTAAAGTGGAGATTTTGGGAAAATATTTCAGGCGAATAAGTTGGGTGGTCAGCTTATGAGCAGGTCTTTGGACATTTTTATCATTTTCTCCAGGTGCATTTAATATTGAAACTTTTATTGTAGATTCAGGAGGTCTAAGTCTATCCATACTTAAATATGTTACCAGAAGCATAAAAACAAAGATTCCAGAAGTAGATGGTGCAGCTAATCATTTTTTTTAGCACAAGCATAATCTCATTCTAGATATTTTTGGTAATGGTATAATATTGCTAGTACACGCACATTTTTTTTAGGGCTTGGCTTATGAGCCAGTTGTTGATTTTTTAGGATTTTCGTGTACGAAACCAGGGTGGCCGGCTTATGAACAAACAGGTCTTAGAACAAATTGGACTGGTATGCTATCAAGTATCAAGGAAATATAATCAAGAACTACAATTTTGCCCCTGTCAAACTTGAGAAAGCAATTTTTATATAAGTATAAGTAAGAGTAATAAAATATTATACAAAGCGAGGAGAGTAAGCAGCATTTTGGCTTATCTACACTAACATATATTTTTTTTAATGTAAAAAAAAAAATCTCTTCTCCGTTTTTGCCCATTTTGCGGCCCCCCTATCCCCTTCAAGTCTTAAAACACCCTTGTTACGCCTTTGACTGAATATAGATTATTAAGCAGGCTCCCCTTTTTGAAGATGTAAATTTAATGAATTAATGTTTACTAAAGCCATTGTTTTTCCTAATATGTAATAAAAGTGTTTTAAGATTTCCTTAACAACTACTGGTACCTATCTGCCCTACAAAGGAGTGACTTGGCTGAAATGATGATATACATGTCCAGGGTTAAATTTAGATAATTGTATCTGAAATTATCACTTTAACAGTGGACAGTCTTTTGTTTGAGCATTTAACTTCCGCCCTTTTATTCTTAAAATAGATCAATTTAGTGTTTGCTGATTTCAGAAATTTAAAATGTGTCATCAAATAAGTTTTTCAAATTTTAGCTCTAGCATTTTCAAACCAGAGATAACATAAGCCGTTGAGCGTGATTAACCAAAATATATTTAAAAAATTCTATGACCTATTTTTACCAGTAACAAATTTGGTTTAAGTTAAAGGGAATTTCAGATTGGCCATCAAAATAGTTTTTTCTTTGTCAAATTATTTTTTTGTTGATTTAAAAAAGAATAATTAAGTATCGATATATCCATTGATGAATAAGGTTAATCCAAATTATGCTAATTCATATTTTCTGCTAACCGATCTTCTGTTCTTCAGTGGCCAATTCTTGTCAGAGGTGTTGCCGTAATAACAGTTCTTCCCCCTGTGTGCCTTTTGATGGGAAAAGTCCACTGCCTGATGGGAGACCTTGTGTTGGTGGATACTGTCAAGGGGTGAGTTGGGGTCAATTGATCCAAGAAAGGTAAGCCCCTTGTGTTGGTGAACTGTCAAGGGGTGAGTTGGGGTCAATTGTTCCAAGAAAGGTGAGCCCCTTGTGTTGGTGGATACTGTCAAGGGGTGAGTTGGGGTCAATTTTTCCGAGAAAGGTGAGCCCCTTGTGTTGGTGGATACAGTCAAAGGATGGTTAGTTGTTCAAAGAATGGTTTGACAGTGGGGAATTGGGATTAGGTTAGGTAAAGAGGCAATAAGTTGCACAAGGTTGGGGAAAAACCTGAAGAACTACAAAACAGCACAACAGATTCTGCAGGAAACAAAACCTGTGAACAATAAAATAAACTACTATAACTTATCTGATGCTGTGGAGATTTTGTTTGGTACGTACCGGTATGTTTTCAGGTTTCCCCTTAACTTGTGTAAGTTGAAATTCCTTTTGTTCCACGAATTTTATTGGTAAGCCTCACAACATATTTTTCAATTTAAAAAATTAGCTCACGATATTCAGTTTAGTGAATGCCACTGAATAACAAGGCTTAGTAGTTTATAACATCTGTTCATATATTTAATTTAAAAAAAAAAATATCAATTACCTGGTATCAACTGTTAAGAGAAAAATAAATGAATAGTTTAAAAAAATGATATAAATGTGTACCAGGTATGACATTAATCTCTCACTATATGTGATCCTTCTACAGAATGTCTGCAAGCCAAGTACAGTATCCACTATACAACGTCTGTTTCAGTTTTTTGAAGATTTGAGCATAGATAATGTTGGTAAGCTGGTTATCTGCAAGCCCTACCTCAATATGCATTAAAATTAGAACATACATTCCACCCAAATCATTAGAAATACCCAGAACCTAAGATCAGCTTGATCAGGGCAAATTCTTGCTCTTAAAGTTAGCATTTAGCATGGAAAGATACAAAATAAAAAATGTTCCCTAGTCTGTACAACTTTACATAAGTGCTCAACTCTCGTCCAGCGGTTACCAAATCTTAATGATGACTATTAAAATCATTGTCATTAAAGGAGATCATTTGATGGCTGATTTCTACGCTAGAAAAACACTTTAAGATGTCTTGTGTTTAAATTGTTATAATTGTAAAATTAAATGTCTTAGTTTAAAAAAGAATTTTTTTTTATTTATGTGCTGAAAATGATTGTGTACAATGTAATCAAAAACATTTCCATTTACTTGGATCAATAAAAAAAAAATTATCTTATTTTAATAATTTAAAAATATTTAATTTACTGATCTTTAATTAATTTTAATTTAAATGTTAGAGGAGCCACAAGTTTAATAAAATAAATTTCTCCGACAGTAAAATTTTTCCGGAGTAACCTGGTCGGATGTGTGATTGTCTTCTCACTCCTTCTCTGGGTACCAGCAAGTACTGTAGTTTGGTGTCATGTAAGTTAGACAATATATTTGTTGGCCTAGTAAGCGGATGGTGGCATACTATTTTAAAAGGTAGACTAATAATTTAATAGAAATGGAACTGGTCCAGCCAGCAAAGGATTGAAAGAAATAGACAAAAAAATTGTTGTTTCAAGCACACGCACAAATAATGAAATCAAACCTAAAAATCACAATCATTAGTGTCCTCCAGACAGCTAGTCTACATTGTGTACAAGGTATGGCCAAAGCTTCACACCCAAGCCATCTGTAGTGTGAAAAGCCTTGTACTACCTTAATTAAGTTATATACCGCCTAAATAGTTTTTTAAAAATAGAGGTATATAAATAATTTGATAAACCGTTTTAATTATTTATTTTTGAAATTTTATTTTAGGATAGAAAACATCTTAAAAAATCCCAAAAAATAGAAAATATAGAACTTAGACAGGTAAGTCATTTTGTCTTCTTTTTTTTTCCCTTCATGTTTACTGACAATAACACTATAGGTAATAATTCATATAATATTTGTTTTCTTTCTCTGAACAAAATGGAAATTATTTCTGTGCGCTAGATGTGAAAATTCATTACTATGTTGCTAATTATAAACACAAGTTGTGTGTTTTAAAGTTCTTTTAATAGATTTGCAGTGAAATCAACATAATGTAATCAATATGTATTATAATTATATGAACTTCTTTATCAGCCCGTGATGGTTATTTCATATTGATGTGAGCACCTTTGACTCTTTGGATTGATTCCAGATTATCATTCTATAGATAGATAAATATATTTATCTTCTTCTTCTTTATTTTAAGGGCCCACAATCAATGAATTGATCATTCTGGCTCCTATGTTTCAGAGGGGTTTGCGATGTTACTGACAATATATATTTATATATATATACACACCCATTAGAAGGGGGATGGGGTTGGGGGAGGAGGGCGGGGGCAGAAGCTTATCATCGTAGGAAAACTAACTAAATTTCTTTTCACTAACATTTTGCTGCAATGCAATTTGTTAAAATGGATTTTTCAAAATACATATTTGTCCACAATTAAGATCTGCCTGTTCTTATTTGTAGCTCTATTTTGATTCAGGCCTTAAATAAGTATACAAACTATTCTAAGCAGTTTCACGATTGAAACTTCTTAAGATGCAGGTACACCTTCTTTATGGGTGGTCCCATTCAAATCATTGACGGGAAAAGATGGGAGTCAACATATTTTTTTAAAGTTTAAATATTTAAAAGGAGAAATAGAAGTTGCATGTTGATCATACTAAAAAAAACAAAATTGTAAATAAACCAGCAACACAAATTGCTCTCCTCACTCTTTTTTTCAGCTAAGTATCACAAGTATAGAATAAGTAGGTGGATATTTTCATATAAAACCTGAAAGTTTTCTGCACGGCCATGAAAAATTCTATCTGTGCCTTGTAACTAAATATAGAAGCATCAAATCCTATTACAGTGGAATGCCTAGTCAGTCAGTCAGAGCCTTGAATGAATTTCTTCTTGCAATTTATCATCTTTTTTTTTGTGTCAATACAATGCTTTGAATACCAGTTACTACTTTGTTCAATAGAATTTTTCTGTCTCAAAAAAACAACCAAATTAATAGGCATTTTGGTTTGGGATTAAAGAAATGATTTTTATATTGCAGTTTTTACCAACATGATGAGTTAATAAACAGTAAGGACAACAACAAAAAAAAACATCTTTAGCTTTACCATCTATGTAGTGGTATCCTGCATTTAAGAACTCTGGGATAATTTGGCTCCCTTTAATTTTATTATTACCTGCTTTCACATTTCAAACCTTGACTCACAAGGAAATGTAATGAGCTTCTTGGGTGTAAAAAGCAATAAGAAATAAAGCTGAAGGTTTTATAATTTTTTTTTTTTTGCTGCAATTTTTTCTCTCCTTGATCCATCTTTCTTCTTACATCTTGTATTGTTAGTTTTTATTTACCTAAACCTTAGCCCACATCATTCTAACCTCTCCTAGGCTCTATCAATCTGTGATGATGTATAATGTATATAGTTTATCCAATTTCAGACCCATGTGTATCCACATGTGGTGTTTTTTTTGGAGGTGGGAGGGTGGGGTCTAACACTCTTCAAAAATGATTGAGATACAAAAATTTGTGTAAATGAAACAATATATGTTAAGCTTTAATAATGATTAGACGATATACAAGTTGAAACATTTGGGCTTTTGCATTCATCAATATCAGTACAACAAAAAACATTAATATACTTATAAATTAAATTTACATAATATTTACATATTATTCTAAAATGATGCACACAATTTATCACAGACCTACTGTTGCTTGATGTTAACTCTCACTATAACCCAAGTGTTGACTCCCTTATGCCACTATAAACTACAACAAGTATCTGTCTTTAACCCTTTCGCTACCGCTGGGTTTTGGCATCGATTTTTGCTGACTCAACAATAAAAACTTGGAAAGATGAAATTTTCGGCATATTTCATTCTCTATCTGATTCGCTTTTTAACTTCTTTATAGATTAACGAATAAGGAAATATATAGCATTGAAATTTGAAGTCCCGTCCTTGGTATTTCAGAAAAGTTCTTTGACTTTTTGTTATGACGGCAATGTGACGTCCTCGGTAATTGAAAGTGGGTGATTGTGACGTCGCGTCGACGTCATCGGTAGCGAAGTGGTTAAAAGCATAATTTTGTATTTCTCCCAATACACAACAATAAACAGTCTGATTGATTTATATTATTTAATAACATTTGTTTAATTTTTTTTTTTTTTTTCCCCAATTTTTTCTCCCCCCCCCCCCCCCCCATGTTTTAACTCTACTCTAAAAATATGTTTAGAATAGCAAGCAACAAACCCCCTCCTGTTTCCCATGGCTATTAAAAATATTAATTTGGCATTCATTCAAAACTAGAAATGATATGTCTATAGTATCTCTCCAAGCCTCTTGATTTCATGCCATTTCCTCTCATGCATGTAATCCAGTATTTAGTGGTGGATGGGAGTATCGTCACACACCCCACCTCTAAAATGTTCACTTTCCTTTCAGCCTAACCATTTCTGCCATCCTTGCTTATCTAACCTACTGCAGCTTTTGTTTTAACGGTACCCAACAAATTTCCAAGAGATGATTCGGGCCATCATTTTATTCCTTCGGCTAACAGCAATCAACTAATATTTCTTTAAACAAACCTCTTCCTTATAGTAATATTTCACCAAATAATACATTAATCTAATTGTAACTTTATTAAGGTCAGTCTGTAACTACTTGGGTTTTTTTAACAAAAAATTTCTTCACACTTTCTTGAGAACATGTATAAATGATTTAAAAGATGAAATGAATTGCTCTAAATTAAACAAAGATGTATGGATATTATCGCCCTGTAATGTGGAGCATTGCTTCCAATTTTTTTAATCAGCAGTAAGGTTTTAAAACTATAGTTCTCTCCAAAGAGTTTTATCATTCTCCAAGTCACAAGAAGTTAACTTACATAAACAATGCAAAAATTTGATGGAATGACATTAAATAGGTTAAATTATGGTGTTGTTAAATGATATTTCAATCAATCCACAGAATCGATCTCTACTGCACGATGAGGATGGCAGGCTGGTCACCAAAACCAAAACTACACCTTCTGTTGGGACGACATCACCTCGATTTCGTCACCGCCAGGCCGACACCTCAACCTCAGAGGTGTGAAGATGAAAGCCTTCAAAAAAGAAACGTAGTTTGGATGAACTTTGCTTGAAGGAAAAATGTTGTGGAAGGAAAAAAAGTTTCTTAAGTGATGAGTCTTATTTTTATTTGCAGATTCTGCAAAATTGTTAGAAAAGAGTTGCTTTAAAATATTTTAAGGCCCACAATGCATGGTGCTGAATAAATACTACCTTCGTAATATGGGAGAGAAATCATGTGGCAAGTATATCCCATTTGGTAAATTATTTTTTTCAAAGCAACAACAAAAACATGTGCTGTGTAATGGATGCAAATGTTATGAAGAGTGTGTTATGATTGACAGATTGAAGAGTGTGTTATGATTGATAGATTGAAAAGAAGAGTGTGTTATGATTGACATATTGAAAAGAAGTGCTTTATGATTGACAAATTGAAAAGAAGAGTGCATTATGATTGAGAGATTGAAAAGAAGGGTGTGTTATGATCTGATTCATTACATTAATATTTCATGTAGGTTGGTGATTTGTGTATTTATAATTTTTTTTAAATATATATATGTAAATGGAGTGCTGTTGTGTGATCAGTGTTAGCTCGCACACCTATGTACAGCATAACTTGAAGTGGCACAGGGAACTGCAGGCCCTCAGACAATAGCATCCTTTGTTGTCAGGGGAGCTCCCGTAGATTAATGTGCTCAGTGGAAGGAAGACAGCGTTCAGAACATTTGGAGCATTTGTTTCATTTAATATTATATGGTTACACTTGTTTGCAGTTAGCTTGGTCACAGTAAATTACTCTTTGTCTTTCTCTAGACCAGGGGGTTTTCAACTGGTGTGTCACATAAAGAATTACACGATTCTCATAGGAATAAAGATTTTAAAATTTCACCTGCAAAGTATTGGACCCCTGCTCAATGAACAGTGCCTATTATATGAAATTATAATTATATTAATTACTTATTTGAATACTTTTATGGTGCGTTGCAGAATTTTAGAGATTCATTTCAGCGTGCTATAAAATAAAAAAGCCTTGATACTCTTCTGCACCATTTACAAGGAGAGAAATTATTTACTTTACAATTGTGGATAAGTGTAAAGAAACAACAGGACATATCCTGAGGGGATCGTGTTAATCAATTGTTGACCCTAGGCACCCCCGGCGCCCAATGTAGGGGTTAATTTGGCTCCAGCCAATTCATCTACTAGTATAGTCAAATAGTCTACAGCATGTTCAAAGACACAGTCAAAAGTTGACTTGATGTTCCCAGATATATGCATGAGTTGACAGCATATTCCCGTGTATAGTCAAAAGTTGATAGCATGTTCACAGGCACAGAAGTTGAGGGTGGGGTTAATTCCTTTGAAGAAGGGGAAAAAAAAGGTAAAATTCTACTGACAGCAGTGGATTTCTTCGTAAAATATAAAGCAAAATTGTAATCATAGACATTTAATAATAATAATAAAAGAAAGTTTGAGATTTTATATTTTTATTAAAACTTCATATTGCAATTAACAAACATATTTTAATTCATTTTTTGACAATATGTAAATAATTTATTTTGTGTTCACGTGAGATTGATTTATTGCACACTGAAAAATAAATTTAAGTGGAACAAATTTCAGACTTCCTATGTTTGTACATAATATGGTAAAACATTGTTACAATCTTGAAAGCTTTTGTCAGAGTGCCCTTCTTAGATGAGAAATTCCTGGATGACTGTCTCAAAACAAACCCTTTAAGTTTTGCAAACTAAATGTCTGCTAGAAATCCATATATATATATATATAGATGTTACATGTCTGCTAGAAATCCATAAAATCTGACCAAAGACAGTCTTGAATTGAGACTGATCAAGAGTAGCGACTGTGCAAGCAGATTGATAGAGATAATGCCCCTGAGCTCATGTCACAGGCCTGTTTACTCGTATGATTTTTTAATACAATGTACGATTTCGAGGTGTATACATTATATATACTTTATGTTTTTACTATATATAAAGATAATGTATGGAACGATTTTGTGATGATATTTTACGATTTTAAGAGTTTGGGGGTAAACAGGTCTGATGTCACAGGACAGCATGAGATTATTGAGATGGACAGCTCAAGGAAGAAAAAAAAGGTCAAATAAAACATAGGCTGAGCAGAAGCAGAATAATAGATCAGGCTCTACAGAATGCATACCTGATAATGAAGCCAGCTAGCTCTCACAGAGCAGCAGATAACGATAGCGTTCCTCAGCCGAATCCTCAAAAAAAAATGGCATTCCACGGAAGTAGTCTTAAAAATGGTGTTCCTTAGATTTAGATGTAGCCACAAAAATGATGTTCCTTAGATATAGCCTCAGCACCAATTGGTTGATTTCTGAACTTGTGAATCAATATTTTGGTCAGCTGTACATAGCTGGGTTCAATATAGATGTCACATGTGTGAAGATTTGGGATTTACTTATTTAGATTCTTCTTTTAAGGAGGTGGGGTTAAGGCATCAATGCTGTCCAACCCACGGTTTTAGTTTTAGGGTAAAAATATTTTTAAACCAAATTCATTGATTCAGTATTGTTGGGAAGTCATGTGAGATTACAGGAGAAGTAACATGGACAAGGGGGAGGTCACAAAAGGTAAGGAGTGAAATGGCTTGAGAGGTGGCAGTAATTTATGTTAAGCACATGGGCAGAGCAAACATTTGGGAACCTGGGTGATATAGGATATTATCTTCCACTTCTTTCTATTGCTTCTACAGGGGAGGTATAACAGGGTTTAGGGTATAATTAATGGCGACGTTAGGAAAAATGTGTAGATATTTGGCCATTGTCAAAATGTCCCTGCCCCCCACCAACTGGCCTAAGTTAGATGAGTTAACTACTGCCAGGAAAGTCTTCCGGACAGAGTTATCAAGCTGGTAGCTGCAGTACTAAAGGTGTCACAAGTGGGCAGTGTGAACTATTTATGGCACCATCTTATTTAAACAGGTAGCCTAGCCAGGTATGGGAGAGTGTGTCTCCATCCTGTATTTGTTGGGGAGACAAGTACCTGGTATTGAGAGATCTGAGTACCGGTGTGAGACATTCAGTAAATAGAAAGCAGGATACACGCTGTGATTGTTTGTACTCTGTGCAAATCAGTCAGGGAGGAATAATGTGAGACAATAGGAATGATTCTTGAAAGTATTTTTTTTTAATGTGAATGTGTGGCAAAGTGAATTCTAGATGACATGTTTCTTCTGATGAATTTCCACAACTATGGAAATGTACGGTAACATAATTTTGACCATGTTTTTGGAAGCACCCTACATCCGTGAAGCTTGATTCTATTTAATGACCACCATTGTCAAAACACACGTAACGCTTTGACTGGTAAACATTAAAAATCTAATGAGGTCAGATCCTACTGATAACTAATTCAAATTAAGAAAATTGCATATACGATTCAAAGCATTATATAGGCTATATCATTAAAAAAAATGCTAGTTTTTATTCACTTCATTTATCTTCTTGATGAACCAATATTGCTATTGGATTTATATGAATCTTTATGCATAAGGTAGAAGTATTAATAATTAATGGAAATAATTTTGTTTTGTGATGTTATTGGCGGCCCTGAGGTGACTGGAAAAATGTTGTTTTTTTTGGCCCACATGGTCAAAAAAATTGAACAACAACACTGTGCTATAACATCAACTGAAAATATAGTTAAGTGTGTTGAAAATGGGGTGTAAACACTTTTAGGGGAGTACCTATATCTCTAAACCCAATTATGTTTTAGACTTTTACTAGTTAGAAAATTGAGATTTATGGATTGAAATGAAGGGAAAAGTTTAGAATTTAAGGTACAGGTAGACCAGAACAAGGCAGGTGAGTATAGCGCAACATGATTTCAATCATTATCCAGGTAACTTCTTTTAGTTCTAGAACCAGGCACAAGGGTTTTTGGCATATGGTCCGCTGAACCCAAACTGAATTAGCTTATTAATAATTAATTTTGTCAGATATTTATTGAATCTTTGTTTGAAAAGGTGTATGTGGCCTTCATTCTGATTGGCACAGAGGCCCATGGACTAAAAAGTTATTAAAAAATTGTTCTTATCAACAAACCTGTGACAAATTTTTGTCAAGGCTTTAGGGGGAGGCCATTTTTTTGAGGACTTGATTCAATGACCTAAGTAAACCCATAACTTGAGAAATAATACATGCCCATAGTAAATAGCAAACAAAAATTGGATTGTTATTCAAAATGCTAAGTATGATAACAGTGTTTGTTACCAACCTGGGACAAAAGACAGCAAAATAAGTTATATACCGGTATAGATTTAGAGTAAATTAGAGAGACAACCATTACTTATGTCAGGGTGGTGGACAAAGCATAAGTGCATTAAGTTACACGTCAAGGACATAACTACTACAGCTTCTAATGATGGATTTGTGTAGGACCATTGCCAGAAATTAATTTTAAAGTACCCACGTCAAGATAATTCCTGACGCGATCACCAACTCTTTACTCTTATAGGGCGTCTTTTGTCAAACTTTTGACATCCTGGGGCGAGATAGGTCAGATGTTAGATAAGACCCTTGTCGGCCAATGTCAGTGAAGTAAGAGTAATAATAAGTTGTGAAGAGCTCTTGAGATTGTTGTAATTCATAATCAAATAAACATTGATATTGCCAGAAGAGTGGTCTGAGTGGACCGAAGGACAAGAGTTTCAAGAGTATATCAGTGATTCTATGACATATATGGGAAATTACACAGGTGGCTTATAATTTTGTTTTCTGGGCATTATGATTAATTAAATTAGGACACTGAAAAAACACACTGGACCTAAATAATCCATAACAGCTCCAGGTGGGAATAATGAACCGATTATTGGATTGATTTATTGTTTTAAAAATTCAACTAATCACGCCCAAATCTCTTGTTTATCATAACAATGGCCTTGACTTTTTATGACTAGAGACTAGAACTATTAAGTTGTCTGATTTATCATTGCAAAAAAATTAATTAATGTTTTATTAAAAAAATATCCTACAGTTAAAATTTTTATCTGTAAATACAGAGTTGATTACGAATTTTCTTTTATGAAATTCTGAAATTGACGAATGCAACGAATGGACCACTTTTTTTTCCTCCTTCCTCATACTGAAATGATACATTCTGATTTGGGGCTGAGCTGACGCTCTTTTATGGCCGCGGCCATAGATCAGGCTTTCTGTGTGGATGTCTGGGTGTTCCCAAACCTTCTGGTCATTAGTGTCGGGCAATCGGCTAGCAAAAGCAAAACTCCCTCCGGCTCCTTTCAGCACTGATGACAGGTTGGCAGCTCGGGTCCCAAAGAGGATTTATGTCCTCATCGTTTTCGACCGTATTATTTCATTTGACCACTTTCCTGGCTGTATTAAGCATTTAATCCGCTGCTGCCATAAAATCGATCTTCTGGGTAATCTTCATTACTAGATAATGTGTCAACGCACTAAAAATCTTCATTTAAAACATCAACTATCTCTGTTCAATCTTCTCATAACGAACGTCCATTAAATTTATATTCCCCCTTTTCTGTGATAGGCCAGTTTTCTTTCAAGTCCCAATACTCTGTATATTATATAAGAAATATTTATCATATTAATTATCCCCCATATATTCATATCTGTGACAATAATATTATAAATTATAGCTTGCTGTAATTGTGGTTGTTGCTTATTTGTGTGTTGTATAAGTATAGGTCTCTGCTTATGTAGCCTATATTATATTTGCAGACATTGTGTTTTTTACAGTTATAATTTGCTGAAACTTTGTTTTCATGTGTATTTGAGTGGTAACCAATCATGAGTACAAAATGAACACACACACATATATATATATTATATACATATATTCATAAATGTGTGTGTGTTAATTTCGTATATATATATATATATATATATATATATGTGAATATATATTATATATATATGTATATATATATGTATATATATATATGTATATATATATGTATATATATATAT